TATATATATATATAGAGAGAGAGAGAGAGAGAGAGAGAGAGAGAGAGAGAGAGAGGAGAGTAGAGAGAGAGAGAGAGAGAGTAGAGTAGAGAGAGAGAGAGAGAGAGTAGAGTAGTAGTAGAGAGAGAGAGAGAGAGAGAGAGAGAGAGAGAGAGAGAGAGAGAGAGAAAAGAGAGAGAGACGGGAATATAGATAGATAGAGAGAGAAAGAGGGGGTAAGAAGGAAAATGAGAAAGAAGGCGAGAGGGGAGAGAAGGCGAGCAAGTGAGTGGCGGTAGAGAGAGTATCGAATTTAGCCAATGGTGACTATTCGTCCAAACGACAGCGATTATTATATTATACTATCCATCGTTGGTCCGTCGTTCCTATACATCGTTTTTGCTGGATCATAGATGTGTCTTACATACTTGCGTTTGTTGTAATGTCCTAATGTTTGTGGCTGCTTCATGACTCGCCATGCCATTTCTTAATTTTTCGCCGATTTGTAGGCAAGCTTATTCACTAAGATTAAACGGATCTAAGTAATCTCAAATATCTCAGCAACTAATTATACGTAAAATACAGCATGAATGCTGCACTCTAGGAATACTTGAAGAATTCGCATACTGTACTCGCCAATTAAATATACTAAAAACTAGGCAAACGACAATCACTGTACTGGACTAGCTCTTATATAGCACATAGCTGAACTAATATAGCTGGATATGTCGGTTTTGCAGCGTCTATCTGTCACTTGAATAGAAATGGCAAAAAGTCACATCATATATTATAGAGATCTGCCTTACGCACTGACAATATTCGAATGCACTCGTCCATACACTTACTGATATACTAGTGTTTTAAATTGGCATACGCCACCATCATTTGAAGAAGAGAATGACTGCATTCCGTATGCCCTGCGGACATGATATCCAGGACTTGATAAAGCTGCATACACTCCTGATACACATATACATATTTGATTGACTGCATTGCAGTAAAAGTATACTCTCAACATGGACCTATCCTGATGGCATTTTCGAGTCGCGTCACTAAGCCATGCCTCTCGTATTAGCATGGTATATGGAACATAGTCATTTTATTGGTACATAGAATATTCGAAATAAAATATTCTCATTATTTTGTAGCATATGCCTAGCATAGTCAATTGAGTGTTCGATTTGTCGTTGGTAGATGTTTTGGTTAAACATATTCAACGATTTTAACCTATTTAGCGCTTTCTTGCGTGTCAGTTTATAAACCCTCAATGCAAAAATTGAAAGTATAAAGAATTGTGTGAAGCGCACTCAGGCCATTAAATGTGCTGGTCATAGTCACAAAACAACGCCCATTCGATAGTTAGATATCGCCAAAGACCATATTCTCGCACGAGTCATCTTATAGGGGCCTACAGGCGTTGGTGACATATGGGTCTTGTTTGGTACATTGGTACCACGTAGGCCATAGAAGTAGTAGATTATAACGTAGGCGATGACGCGCGCCATATAGAGGCGTACAAACTTTTCCTGATTTCCCATGCCTTTACTGGATAAAATTTTTATGACCACCCAACTCGCAAATACTATACTATACTACACTACACTACACTATACTATACTCGTGTGGGAGACCGTTTCAGTGCTGCATTCTAGTAATCCTGCACCATATACTTACTCTGACCCTTACTATACGTAATTCATGATATGCTATGCTCATGCTGAATCATATTCATGATACACATTTCTTATACTTTATTCCCATGCACCCTATATACTCAATTCCACTCATGCCTTATCCCAGTGCCACTAAACCTTCCCATTGCGCCCTGCAACATGTCTGAACATATTCA